CGCACTGGCAATCCCCTCCCAAATTCCACATCGATAGCTTGTAGCGGCGGCGGCGGCTGCGGTGACCCCAACTCGAGTAGCTGCCGCATCCATGTTAGCCACACCGTCGGCGCCGACGACTTAGCCAGGTGAGCTCTCTCTCTCTCTCTCTCTCTTCCATAGAACCAACTCGCCGGGATGTGAGAAGAGCACCACCGTCGGCACACCCATTGCGCGCGCACGGGTGTCGCCGCCGCCGCCGCCGCGGCCTCAGTCCTGATCTGAAGAGCGCATGGACGGCTGCCATATAGCTCACACGACTTTGCGGCTTCCTGCCTTGAAAGTGCGTTATATCGACTAGAGGGGGGTGAATAGGTGATTTTTATGAATTCTTCACTGAGGAATTTGCCGGTGAGGAAAATCCTTAGCGAAGAACTACTAGCAGCGGAATAAGTACTCAGAAGTAAGCATAACAGAATACAAGCATGGTCATCAAGATGAAATGAAGACAAGCACTGAGTACAGAAAGCGTAATCACAGGATAACACAAGGTGAAGACAAACAGACTGAAGAAATTGATCTGAGGAAATTGAGAAAGTCTTCAGTCGAAGTCTTCAAACACAGATATGAACAAATACTCAACACAGTAATGAGGAAATGAAAGGGTTGAGGAAATAGAACCAGTTAGGTTGGTGAAGACAATGATTTGATAGACCAGTTCCAACTGCTGTCTCAGTTGTACGTCTGGTTGGAGCGGCTGAGTAGTTAAACTCGAGGACACACAGTCCCGAACACCCAGTCACTGAGCACGCAGCTCAGGACACCCAGTCCTCACCGTATTCTCCTTGAACTAAGGTCACACAGACCTCGTCCAATCACTCGTGGTAAGTCTTCAGGCGACTTCCAAACCTTGACAGACTTGGTCACTCGGCGATCCACAATTCCTCTTGGATGCTCTAGACCATGACGCGTAACCGTCTGGAAGAAGCACAGTCTTCAAAGGTAACAAGCGTCGGATCCACGTAGGATCAATTTCTTCAGTGATGCTCAATCACTTTGGGTTTGTAGGGGTTTGGTTTTGGGTTTTCCTCACTCGATGATTTTCGCTCAAAGTCCTCGGAGGATGGGTTGCTCTCAAATGACAAGTGTCAAGTTCTCTCGGAGCAGCCAACCAGCTAGTGATTGTAGGGGGCAGCTATACTATTTATAGCCTAGGGAGCAGCCCGACATGATAAGACATAAATGCCCTTCAATGATATGACCGTTAGGTGGATAAGATATTTTGGGACAGCTGGCGTGCAGCACAGCAATGGTCGGAAATTTGACTCTTAAATTCCTCAGGGCTATCATGTTCCTCACTGTGTAGGCAATTCGCACTGGCGAATTCCTAACTCCTCAGTCAGAACAAATTCATCAGCGACCAGAAGAACTTCGTCTCTGTCACTGAAGAAAGTGACTGAACTGTATGAGATTTCCAAAGGCTTCACTCGAAGGGATTGGTAGGTGTAGGATTTTGAGTTGAGCATCACATGGAAATTTTTCCTTAGTATTTCCTCGACCCCCTTTAACAGTACGGTGTTTCCTATGACTCAAGAAAGAGAAAATGAAACTACGAAAACAAAAGTCTTCACGCTTCATGTTCCACAAATGAATACCAAGTCTTCAAGGTCACACCAATTTCTTCACTTTCAAAGTCTTCAGAAAGTCTTCAGAATATCAAAGTCTTCAGTCGAAGAACTTCATTTTTAGGGGTCGACTTTCTCTGTAAATATCAAACTCCTCATAGACTTATAGACCTGTGTACACTCACAAACGCATTAGTCCCTTAACCTATAAGTCTTTAATACACCAAAATCACTAAGGGGCACTAGATGCACTTACATGCCTTGCGCCGCGGCCTTGTGTGCATAGGGTCTCCTCGGGCGGCGGTAGGGCTAGAGTCCGCCGGCGTCGTGACGGGGCTGGATCTGGAGATGGGTTCTCTCGTTGTGGGACTAGGCCTCGCTCGGTGTGCTTCCATGATCCAGGGTTCTAGTGCCTACACAAGTACTCCATGAAGTCCGGGTGCCCCCTTGTACTCCTCCAGCCTCCGTGTCACGGCAGCCGCGTCGTGCTCGCCGATGGCCTTCTGCAGCATCCCCGCCAGTTGATCCTGTGGTTAGAACTTAGAAGTCACAACCGTCGGGTGTAGGCCGTTCTGCTAGGCGGCGGCCGATGTGTAGATGCCTAGATGGACAGATCTCTCTTCTCTGTAGTGTAGTCTGAATGTGTAGTTCTGTAGTCATGTGCAGTTTTGTTCATGCTGATTTTAGTTACTACTCCTTGACTCACACTATACTACAGATGGGATTATGAACACTATACTACAGTTTTGTTCTTGCTGTTAGTGTAGAAGAGTTTTGTACTTCATACTGTTTCTTACTGACTGAGTGTTGAATTACTTATGTTTCTTGTTGTGTTCATTGTCTGATTGTAGGCCTCGGCGTGTCAAGCACAGCATCAACAGCCCATGGACAAGCTGCCATTGGATGAAGCCGCTTTATGCTTGAGTCAATTGGACAATACGGCGAAGACCTGGATGGTCCTAGTCCTTATGAAATGGGTGGGCCATACTTGAAGAAGAGGAAGAAGAGAGTGAAGGATTCCTTCAAGGCACACAAGGAACATTGGGAGCTCACTGGATGTACAATCATGACAGATGCATGGACAGACATAAGAGGAAGAGGGGTAATGAACTTGGTGGTTCATAGTGCTTATGGTGTAGTTTTTCTTGATTCTGTGGATTGTTCAGCTGCTAAAAAATGGTAAGTACATCTTTGATCTTGTAGATTGTTGCATAGAATAGATTGGGGAGAAACATGTAGTTCAAGTAGTGACTGATAATGCAAGTATGAATCAAGCAACATCTAAGTTGTTGAACGCAAAGCGCCCCAAGCAAATTGAGTTAGATGGATCATTTGAAGCTGGGCTTGTAACTTGCATGGAAAAAATGGTTGAAGATGTTGTCCTTCAAGACAAAATCAATGATGAGCTTGTGGCATATCGAAAGGAACATGGGACATTTGGAAGAGAAATTGCCAAAAGGCAGCGGAGAAACAAAAGCTTTGATCCAGGTGCATATTCACATTTTTATCAATTCTCAAATCTAATCTTACAATGGTTTATTAACTATGGTTTTATACTTTTGAATGAAGCTCAATGGTGGTCCAGTCATGGGTCAGATTCACCAAATCTCAGAGTATTGGCGATGCGGATTTTGAGTTTGACATGCAGCTCCTCCGCTTGTGAGAGGAATTTTAGTGTTTTTCAGCAGGTAAGAAAGAAGTACAATTTATCATGTTCTCAACTTCTCATATTAGTGCCCTTGAAAAATATTTGCCTATGTTATGCTAGCAAACTTGATTTGTTCTCAACTTCATAGAAGTGTCCTGTTGTCCGTGTTGTAAATGTACGCAATCCTAGTGTTCGTGTTGCTTGATATGAATTGATGGCTGGTTTGTGCTGTACAGTGTATAACTTTCCTTGATGTAGAATATATTTCCTTGCTTCCTTACTGTGATAACATATTTGTTTCATTGCAAACTTGCCATGTTGCGTACTTGGTTGCTGTTACCTATAGATTCACACAAAGAAACGCAACAGGCTGCTTCATAATAAAATGAGAGACCTTGTTTTTATCAAGTTCAACTCCAAACTCAAACAAAAGAGAAAGATGACAAACAGGGACCTGATTGTGGACCACACATTTGTAGATGTTGTAGAAAATGAAGATAATGAGTGGATCACAGGTATTGTGCCTCATGAACCTGATGAAGTTGTAGAAGTTGCAGCATCAACATCACAAGGAGCAGTTGGTGCATCAAAAGGAAAGAGAGCGTCCCAATCTCGCCCTCGAAAGAAGAAAAAACCGCTCCCTGTTTTTCGTGAAGATGAGTTGGAGTCAGCTAGTTCTTCTTCTGAATCGGAAGATGATGCCATGCATTCACCATCTGGTTCATCAAATGAGAGTGATTCTGAATAATTTCCAAGTTGTCGCTGTATTGTATTGTTTACTTGTTGGCTTGTTGGCTTGTTGCCTTGTTGGCTAGTTCATCTTTAAACTGATATGTTGTACTATTGTCGTCCTATGGCAGTTGTTGTTGCCCTTCTAGTTTTTTGGACAAGTAATTTCGCATGTGTTGCTATGGACTGTTGTATTGTTATGTTCTCCGTCTAGTTCATCATAAAACTACTATGTTGTATTGTTCTTGTTGTTCATCTTAATTAGTTATGCATGTATGGCTCCTGAAAAAAAATATTAAATGTTGAAATCCTTATTTTTTGGGATATATTTGGCTTTTTATTAAACGCTATTTTGAATATAGCACGCTGTAGCATGCTATAACTTGTATAGCATTTGAAGAAGGGCCACGCTATTTTAAATAGCACGCTATTCAAAACATTGGTTGGATCTGATAGGAACTGAAATCCGTCGTCTGCCGCCTCCGCCATCGCCATAGCGCTGAGCTTCGAGCGCCGCATCGCCATAGCGCTGAGCTTCTCGCCCCGTGCGGCGCTCGAAAGGATAGACTTCTTTTTTCCCTTTATTTACTGTCGGGCACGAGTGTGGACCCACATTGCAACCCTTGACTTATCCGTCCGGATAGCGTCGTTTCCATGCCGTCCCGGTTTTCACGCGTGCTGTAATGTACCACCGGGACAGGAGCATGCTGTACCGATAAGCCAGTGTTACTTCGCACGGCTCCGTCACCGCCAATCACTGTTCCACTGTTTGTATACGTTGGGTATATATAGGATCGCATTCAATCTTGTATGGAACGCGTCGTTGTCTGATTGGCAAACGTTCCGAGAGCAGGCGAGCCCGTCCGCACAATCGCCGTTCTCCTCCTCCTCTCCTCATCAATTTACTTATTTACTGTCGTTGAGTACGCAGCTGGTTCAGTACGCCGCTGCATTATAAGAGCAGGCTCCACTGCTTAACTGAACACCACAAACACTACCTGAAACAGTAGCTCAAATCGATGGCAACCACCCTGCACTCTCATACTCTCAGTCCAGTTCCCAGTCCCACGCCGGCCGGCCGTTCGTCCGACATGCACTGGAGCGACGAGGAGACGTCCGTTCTCGTGGACGCTTGGGGCCCGCTGTACCTCGGCCGCAACCGAGGCTCCCTCAGCATGGAGGACTGGGACTCCGTGTGCAGCGCCGTCGACGCACACCACGCCGCCGCCGGGCTCGACTTCAAGCGCAACCCCGCCGGTTGCAAGAGGCGCATCTTTACACTCAAGGCTCGGTACACGGAGGAGGCCGCCAAGGGGCAGCCGACGTCGGCGTGGCGCCACTTTGCCCACCTCCGGGCGTACCTGGCCGACCCCAGCGGCGGGCCTCCGGGCTTCGCCGCAAAGACGTCCGTGAAGAAGGAGAAAAAGGTGGAGGAGGGGAGTGGATCGGTCGGCACGACGAAGGTCCCGGCGAAGCGCCGGTTTTCGAGCCTACGGGACATCCTGGCAAAGACGCCGGCGACCGTCAAGGAGGAGGAGGTGGTCGGCTGCGGGTGTGAGTTGGTTGGGGGTCCGCCGGCGGGGGTGACGAAGCTGGTGGCGGAGATGAGGAGGCTGGCGGAGGTGCACGAGCGCGTGGAGATGGAGAGGCACAAGTTCATGAAGGAGATGCTCAAGATGAAGATGAAGGAGGAGATGGAGACGGAGGACGTGAAGCTGGAGCACAAGAAGGTGAAGGTGGAGAATGAGGAACAAGTCCACGGCAACTAACATCATGGTAAAAACTAAATGATCTCTATCGCATTCCCAGTCCTATCGCGACAATATAGTTTGTTTTCTTCTTCTTACGCTTGGTTTCCACTGTATTTTGTGTGCAGAGGGACAGGGGATTTGATCTGCAGGCTGAAAATCCAGTAGAGGAGTAGTGTTTGTGCTTCACTGTATCTTGTTTTACACCTGGTTTTATTTACTGCATTTGTGGTTGTACTCCGCACTTACCATGTACCGTAGCTAGTAGAGTAGTAATTAGCAAACAAGAATCACCCCTAGATTCCATATCAATGTACGCATTTTAAATCAGTATAATATCCAGTGTTTGTGTCTCGATCGAGTTGAATCATGAAGGAATTGCAAGGGGCTGAGAGTTGGGAATGCAAGGGAAGGGAAGATCGATCCCCAAATTCCTAATCCTAAGAGCATCTTCAGTCGCGTCTCCATGACAGCCCCAGGAGCCATCGCCGTTAAAAAAGTGTTCCAGTCGCACCTCACAGGCTCATTTTGTGTCGGATTTAGCGAAAACTACAGCCAGCACACGCAAGGCGATCCCAGTGAATCGGAAGGCAGCTGGGGCGCCTGCACTATTTTTTGGCTGCAAAAGGCCCACTGTCAGCCTCTAATCTCTCTCTCTCCCTCCTTTTCCTGACTAGGGCCACCACCCCTTCTCTCCTGCATGCAAAAATCTCCCCTCTCTCCCGCATGCCCGCCGCCCCTTCTCCTCCACACTCCACCAGCCCTTCCTCGCTCATCCGCCGTCGCGGCCTGCGCCAGCTCGGGACAGGCGAGTGCGGCCGACGAGCGGGCGCGGCCAGGGCTCCACCGCGCCACCCGAGCTCGCTACTTCTCCGGCCGAATCCCACGGGAGCTCGCTCACCTCGCTGCTGCTCGACGGGCGCGGCCTGGGCTCCACCGGTCGCATCCCGTGGGAGCTCGCCCGCGTACCGCGGCTCACCTCACTGCTGCTCGAGCGGGCGCGGCCTGGGCTCCACTGCGCCACCCGAGCTCGCCGCCTCTCCGGCCGAATCCCGCGGGAGCTCGCCCGCATACCGCCTCACCTCACTGCTGCTCGACGGGGCCGGTGTTCACGCTGCTGTAGGCCATGCTCCGGCAACCGGCCTTTGCCTCCTCACCGCCGCTGGTTGCGGCCGCCTCCTCACCGCGCGCCGGCCTCTGCCTCCTCACCGCCGCACTCTGCGTCGGCCCGGGCGTGCCAAAGCCGCCGCAGGGCGAGCTCGAGGAGCGGTGGCGCCCGGCCGCTTCCTCGCTGCGCGCCACGTGTCCTCCCCGTCGAGGTGCTTGGGGGTGTACATGGCTGAACAAATTTGTCCCCCAAACCCAAAACTTGCACCGGCGCAACCCCAGCTGGACGAAAAAACGTTCCTGAAGGGGCACAACGGCTGAAGATGCTCTAAACCAGGAGAGGGGAGGAACGCCTCTTGTTTGAACTCAAGGCGCAGCACACACAACAGGCACGGTTGGACCAAACCTCCCCCCTCCCCTCCCCTTCCCTGCGACTGCGACGCACCGCTCTCGGCTCCGTAGGACGGTAGGAGTCGCCGACGCAGGTACGGCACCACCGCGAGACGCGCCTATATATATTAGACGCAGCGCAGGGCCTCCGGGGTCCGACCCCGAGGGCCAGGGCCAGCGACGCACCCCCGTCGCTCGCATTGATCCATCAGACTCAGACGGCAGGCACGCACACCCACGCCTCCCTCCCTCCCTCCCAAAGCCAGCGCCCATGTCCGCCATCGCCCACCGCCGCCGCCGCCCCGCGCCGCCCCCGCCCGCCTGGACCCCCGAGCCCTGGAGCGACGGCGAGACGGCCGCGCTGCTCGAGGCCTGGGGCCCGCGCCGGCGGCGGCCCCCTCCGCACCTCCGACTGGCGCGCCTGCGCCGCGGCCGTCACCGCCCGCCGCGCCGCTGACGGCCGCGCGCCGCGCACCGTCGACCAGTGCAAGAACCGCATGGACTACCTCAAGAAGCGCCTCAGGGCCGACCGCTCCAGGCCCTCGTCGCCGCCGCCGCTCTCCGGCTCCCTCCGCCGCCTCGCCAAGCTCCTCCGCCAGGCCCCCTCGGTCCCGCACCGCCTCGCGCCCAAGGTCGAGCGGGAGGACCGCCAGGAGGACGAGGAGGAGACCGGCGGGTCTCCCCTCTACCGCGACTGGCCGCCGGTGCCCAAGCGGCGGAGGACGGCCGTCTCGTTGTCGCCGCTGAGCTCCTCCGCGGAGCATCACCACGGGAATGGAGGGGCGGCCTGCACGGAGGTTGCAGTTGCTCTGGATAGGCTGGCGGGGACGTACGAGCGGGTTGAGGCGGCCAAGCAGATGGAGGCGACACGGCTGGAGGACCGCCGCCTGGAGGCCATGCGGGACCTAGAGATCGAGCGCATGCGGGTTCTCGCCGACGTCGCCATCTCCACCTCGGACGATACACAAACCCCAGCCACCTCCGCCGCCATCTCCACCTCCGCCGATACACACACCTCAGTCGCCGCCGCAGCCGGCGGCGGCCTAGTCGGTGAGTTCTCTCTTGTTGCCTGAACCCATCTGCTCATTGTCCATGGTTAATGATTGTTGATTCGCGTTTGAATTTGGACGCAACATGCCTGCAACTCTGCAATTCCTGAGAGCACCAGCTTATGCATCATCATGAGCAATGAGATCATTAAATTTGGTGAGACATTCATTATTGCTAGAAAACAGTGTGCCTCGGCCTCAAATTAGCCTTCAGTGATTCATTCATAAGATAATTTTAAGATGCGATGCTATTATTTCTAATCAGACTACTCATGTGCGACAGTGCAAGGTTGCTTTCTGCCTATGCTCTGTAGTCTGTTCCATCTCCAGTAGAACACCAACTGCAATATTCACTGAATACTGTTAACAAGTAATAGCAGTAATCTGTTCATCATGTGCATGATTATGTAGCTTGAACAATTAGGAATCATGTGTTCAGGATTCACGGTTGTCTGACATTCTTGTTTGTCTTGTGCTTTTTGACAGAGGAACTAGTACAATAGACTGGTCATGGTAGAGCCCTCCAGATTCCAGATCATCTTTTCAGGAGATCATTGCAGCGTGGAGAAGCCAACTGACGTGATGATGCCCTTACCAGAAGTTACATGGGTTTAGGTTACAGGAAAAGCTTAGCCAGGTATAGGATAGCACATGATGAGACTTTTTTAAGTTCAATGATTGCGGGTTTTACAGCGGTGCAGGACGAGGGACTCGATTGCCTGAATGTATCGTTCTGTTCTTTGGGACTCAGCCAGTCATGTGGGCACACGGTAATTTACTGCTGTAACCCCCTTGTGTTTCCAGCTGACGAACCATTCGGCTGTGAAACACTATCGGTAAATATGATGTTTTGGGTACTTCTATGAATTCCGGAAGACTGCTTTACTTCTGTTATGTGTTTGCCTGCTGTTGCTGTGTGCAATCTTGTGCAGCTTTGTGCGTGTGTGCCTTTCCTCGCACATTGCTCTAGTATAATTGATAAATCTTTGTCAGGCAAACAAACAAAAGTTCCTCGCCTCTCTTAACCTGGAAAATGCACAGCAGCAAGCTGGAAACGGGAATAATTATTAATTTGGCCCAATAATTTGAATGTTTCAGAAGCTCTGGCACTTTTTCTTTTGCGGGGTAGAAGCTCTGGCACTCTGTTACTGAGCCATCCGACGCCGATTGGCTTTAATATTTGTGGTGAATCATGGTAATCTCGTTTAGTGAAATCGTTTTTATGCCTTTTGCCATTTGGTGGGTGCTTTTGATATATATTTTCCGAAAAATAATATGTGAAAGTTTCTCTGGTTTGAGATAAAAGCTTTAGAACTTTCAAATTTCGGGTAATCTTTGCCGGATGTTAGCTATATTCATAAACTTGTGTTTTTTTTGTTTTGCGAAAAAACTTCCGACCTATTCATCTTCAATCATTGTAGTACAACAAAAACCAGAAATAATAAAAATTACATCTAAATCCGTAGACCACCTAGCGACGACTATGAGCATTCAAGCGAACCCAAGTCGCGTCATCGTCATCGCCCCTTCCTCGCCGGAGTCGGGCTAACCTTATTGTAGTAGACAATAGAGAAGTCATCGCATTCAGGGCCCATAGGATCAGCGCACCAGAACAACAACAGTCGTCGATGAAGAGTAGCATAGACTGAAAGGATCCAATCTAAAAACACACGAACGTAGACGAAAGACGACCAGATACGAACAGATCCACCAAAGACAAATCCATCAGGGACACCTCCACACACCCACAGGCAATGCTAGACGCACAACCGAAAAGAGTGCTAGGCGTAGAGAAGCATCTTCAGGAAGCCGCCACTGTCTCGCCTTCCTGAATAAGGCACAAAACCTAACAAAACCCAAAGAAACATTCAAAAATGAAGCCCTCCCATCGGCAAAGATCGGGATCCACCCGTTCCCATGGCCCTAAGGCCACCGGAGACGAGACGGACCTGCGGCGGCGGGAGGCAGAGAAACCCTAACTTTTTTTGACGGGAGGCAGCGGCCATACACTTGTGTGTTGTTGCATGAATGAGAGGAGGGTGAAGGGTAACCTTCCTATGGGAATGCATGGATGCGGTAAATGTAGTGTTTGTATTTGTTGTATTTGTGGAGTTAGTTGTGGATTATAAGATAGTTTGCCAATCATAACACCAATTCTTTTTGCATCTATTTTGTGCACTAGCTTGTAAAATAAGGCTGACCCAACAATGTTCATCAACCGCAAAGTAAGAGCATCTATAGCCACGATTATCAAATCCGGCGCTTTATACGCTCCGAGTACGTGCCGGACGCGTCCGCGGACAATGACCGGTCCGACCTCAAACTCTCGCCCGCACAACCGCGTACCTCATATCCGGCATCATAAATCCGTATTACACATGCAACGTGAAACTAGTCTACGTAGATCATCAACGAAACAAAAGGGCATCCAAACAACGAACATAGAAATCGGCAGCAAACAGACACAAAAATGCA